ATGTCATTCACAATCTTAAGGACAAGATCAAAAATGGAGACTAGGAATTTCCTAGTGTACAAGTCAGCTTTATGGACTAGAATATACAGGGTTGCTGCCACCACCAATATATTCCCTCTCTGCCTCCTGCAAAAAGAGAGAATAGCATCTCCTATGTGTCATGACAATTATGCTATGTGTTTTCACCACCAACCACTTGTGACGGCTACTGTGAAACAAGGAAATGCAAAAAGCCACAATCTAAGGCAGAACTTTCCAAACTTTTCATGTTGGTGACACACTTTTTAGACATTGCATCATTTCACAGCACAGTAGTTCCATTTTACCAGCAAACCCGAGCCTAATCTGGCCTGGGGCGGGGCCTGAAGCCTCACAAGGACTGCTCTGCTGCCCAGGAAGACTCCCCTGTGGTGAGTGCCTGAGGGCCCTGCTCCTTCTTGCCACTTCCCATCTGGCCTGGGGCGGGGCCTGAAGCCTCACAAGGACTGCTCTGCTGCCCAGGAAGACTCCCCTGTGGTGAGTGCCTGAGGGCCCTGCTCCTTCTTGCCACTTCCCATCTGGCCTGGGGCGGGGCCTGGCAGGCCTCACAAGGACTGCTCCTGCCACTTACTATCTGGCCCAGGGTGGGGCTTCACAAGGATGGTTGTTGCCACTGATGCTGCTACTGCCCAGGAGGACCCGGAGGGGTGCAGAGATCTTTTTAACATATCTTTTTTTATTATTTTTAAAATTATTATTAAATATTTTCCTTTCCCTTTAGATTTTTTATATATGGGGGTGGGATGGATGTTTGGGTGGGCTTGGGAATTTGTTAGATTTTGATGAATTTGTAATTTTTGCAGTTTTTATTTGTATTGTTTTATTGTTTTCTGGGTTGTTTTGTTTTTTGTTTTTATTGTTTTAAGGTTTTATTGTTTTAGGCTGCGAAAGAATAACATTAATTGCCATCAATGGAGGCTACCATGAGGCCTGGGATTGCTACCGTGGAGGGCGAGGGAGGTATGGCGGTGGGGGCAGATGTTATAGGCGAAGGGGATCGAGATATGGATACGCTCGTACCCCTTCCAATCTGCGCCCCATCCCGAGGGACGAGGGTAGGGTGAGCAAGGATTACTCACCTCCGTCACTGGTGCTGTGCAATGCCAGGTCTATAGGCAATAAAACCGCCACCCTGCGAGATTTCTTTATCTCGCAGGGGGTCGACCTGGCTTGTGTGACGGAGACCTGGGTGCGCGAAGGGGCAACAGTTACCTTACGAGAGATGGCGCCCCAGGTTTCTCCGTCCTCCACCAGTCGCGGACTGTGGGCCGGGGGAGGGGTGGCATTATTAATCCGGGAAGATTGTCCTTTCAGGGCTCTACCATCACCATCGATCCCCGGCATTGAATGTGTTGGCCTAGTGTGGGGCTCCGAGGAGAGCTTGGCTGTCTGGCTGGTGTACCGGCCACCTAGCGCACCAGCAGCCACCCTGTCAGGCCTATTGGAGGCGGTGGCCGGCTGGGCCTTGGAGTTCCCTAACCTATTGGTATTGGGGGACTTTAACATCCATGCTGATGCCACTCCCTCCTCACAGGCTCTGGACCTGGTGTCTTCCATGGCGACACTAGGGCTCTCCCAGTTTGTTTCGGGCCCCACACATCAAGCAGGCCACACGCTGGATTTGATCTTTGGCGTAGGTATAGATGTGATCATGTCTCCTTCGATGAAGGTGCCATGGTCTGATCACTACGCTCTGAAAGCCAGGATTGACTTTCCACCCCCACCCTGCTTAGGTGGCGAGCCGATTTGGGCTCGCCCGCAGAGGCTGATGGACCCTGATAGATTCCGCCAAGCCTTGCGGGACCTTGCTCCCCCTGGCGACTCATTGACTGAGCTTGTTTGAGGGCTGGAATACCCAGCTCCTGGCAGCCATCGATGAGATCGCACCTAAGCGCCCTCTGCGACCCCGCAGAAACCGGGCTCCCTGGTTTACCGAGGAGCTCCGGAAAATGAAGCGGGACCTCAGACGGCTAGAGCGAGTATGGCGGGGTGCCCGTGACGGAGCCTCAAGAACATCTTATAGGGCTTTTATGAAAACCTACGAGATGGCGGTGAAGGCTGCTAAGAAGTCATACTTCTCGGCCTCCATTGCATCCGCTAGCTCTCGCCCAGCGCAATTATTTAGTATAATCAGGTCTTTAACGTCCCTTGAGGGACAGCCAAATTTAAATAACAATTTGACACACAGCTGTGAGGCATTTGCGAGCTTTTTGCGGAGAAGGTCTTGTTGCTCCGCCATGACCTCCCGGCCAATTTGGATACAATAAAGGAACTGGAGGCCCCTCGACTGTCCTCGGGTCCAGTATTGGACCACTTCGACCGGATATCCCCAGCCGATGTGGACAGACTCCTCCGAGCTGGAAAGCCCACCACCTGTCCTCTCGACCCGTGCCCGTCTTGGCTGATTAGAGCGTGTCCAGACGAGGTGCGGGCCCTCCTAGGGATATCATCAATTTGTCCCTTGGCACGGGGACATTCCCAGGGGAACTGAAGGAGGCAGTGGTGCGCCCGCTCTTAAAGAAAACATCATTAGATCCTTTAGATCTATCCAATTACCGCCCGGTTTCGAATCTTCCGTTCCTGGGTAAGGTGATTGAGAGAGCGGTTGCTGAACAGCTTGGTGGTTTTCTGGATGAAACATCGGCTCTGGATCCATTCCAGTCCGGCTTCCGCACTGGTCATGGGACCGAGACGGCTCTGGTTGCCCTAACAGATGATCTTCGTAGACAGCTGGATCGAGGCGGGTCGGGGCTGCTGATTCTTCTAGATCTGTCAGCAGCTTTCGACATGGTCGATCACGAACTTCTAGACCACCGCCTTGCCGACGTGGGGATCCAGGGCACAGTCCTTCAATGGCTGCGCTCGTTTCTCTCTGGTCGGGGACAGAGGGTGGCGCTTGGGGGGGAATTGTCATCGCGCCACTCCTTGGTGTGTGGAGTACCTCAGGGTGCAATACTTTCCCGATGCTTTTCAACATCTTTATGCGCCTCGCCCAGCTTGTTCGGAGTTTTGGGCTGGGTTGCCATCAGTATGCCGATGACACCCAACTCTATCTGTTGATGGATAGCCATCCTGACTCGGCCCCAGACACACTGACCAGATGTTTGGAAGCTGTGGCTGGATGGTTTCGTGGGAGCCGGTTGAAGCTAAATCCTTCGAAGACAGAGGTCCTGTGGCTGGGACGGGGCGATATGGGATGGGGGGGGCAACTCCCATCTCTTGCGGGGGCGCAATTAGTGCCAGCACCGTCCGTTAAGAGTTTGGGTGTAATCTTCGACACCTCCCTTTCCATGGAAGCGCAGATTGCAGCTATAACAAAGGCGGCATTTTTCCATCTCCGCCAAGCTAAGCAGTTGGCTCCTTACCTCTCTCGCCCTGACCTAGCCACTGTGATCCATGCGACGGTCACCTCCAGACTGGATTATTGTAACTCACTCTACGTGGGGCTGCCCTTGAGACTGACCCAGAAACTCCAGCGGGTGCAGAATGCTGCAGCGAGACTCCTTACGAGGTCTTCGCTGCGAGATCACATTCACCCGGTGCTATACCAGCTGCACTGGCTCCCGGTGGAGTACAGGATCAGGTTTAAGGTGCTGGTTTTAACCTTTAAAGCCCTATACGGCCTAGGACCCTTGTACCTACGGGACCGCCTCTCCTGGTATGCCCCACAGAGAAACTTACGGTCTTCGAATAAAAACATCTTGAAGGTCCCAGGCCCCAGAGAAGTTAGGCTGGCCTCAACTAGAGCCAGGGCTTTTTCGGCTGTGGCTCCAATCTGGTGGAACACTCTGTCACAAGAGACCAGGGCCCTGCGGGACTTGACATCTTTCCGCAGGGCCTGCAAGACAGAGCTGTTCCACCAGGCCTTTGGCCAGGGCACAGCCTGACTCCCTCCCTCGGCAATCTTCGCGGAGCTCTGGCCCAATGGTTGCCAGTGGCTTGAATTAATTAATTTTATAACGAATGATTTTAGACTGTTGTTTATGCTGTACTTTTGTACTGTTTTATTGTTGTTAGCCGCCCTGAGCCCGGCTTCGGCTGGGGAGGGCGGGATATAAATAAAATTTATTATTATTATTATTATTATTAAGCTCACCCCTGGTACTGGGAGAAGGTCCAGGGGTGCACACTGCAGCCAACACGCTAACGTCGCAACACACAGTTCAAAAAGCTCAGATCTAAGGACCTAAGTTGCCATAAATCTCAGGGAAATTAATTTTGCTATTTTCAGTAGCTGCCTCCATGTGTTTTAATGTAATGTTTAGGTTTAGCAGCAACAGAAAAGAGAAGGCAGCATGGCTGGAATTAGAAACTTTTAAAAGGTTCTGTAAATGAACCTTGCAAGAGCCAGATACGTTTCAGCATCGTCTTCAGGAGCACTAATAATAATAATAATAATAATAATATCCATTCTACTGTTACAGCACATCACTTAAAACATATAATCTCAAAAACCAATCTATTGGGGGCAGGGGAGAATGCCACTGAAGACGACAACATGATGTGCTACTGTAATTTTCAATTAGCCCTTTTCATTCCCAGCTTTTCCTCTTTGGATTTCTAATTTTGGATTTCTAATTTTGGCGTTAATCATTATACACTTGTTACCAGGCCATTAATGCAGAGGCTTTCACAATATCTGACCTGGGCTTGACAATGGGCTTCTTCAGACTGAGCAAAAGGCTAGTCAACTCTAATGCAATATGAATGCCAATGTAAGGGTTGCAACATATTGTAAAAGGAAGAGTGAAGAGTTGCATCCACAACAGCTTTTGACATTTGTGCAATTGCATTCCACACAGCTGTCTAAATTGCCATAGCTCTGCAAATAGGGGAAATAATCTCATTTTATCAGCATAGTTGAGTTCGGCTTCGGCTGGGAGGGCGGGATATAAATAAAATTATGTATTTATTTATTTATTATTATTATTATTATTATTATTATTATTATTATTATTCTGGAAAAAGCAATATCTGAACCCAAAAGGAATGTTTGCAAATTGTTACTGTCCATATAAATGATCGTCAGGACAGGGAAGGCCCTGGAACTTTGTGATGAATTGGAGATGATTTATGCTTCAAATATATCTGAAATATCAAATATATCAGCTTAACTATGGTGGCTTCTGCAAAAGAAAAAAGAAAAAAAGAAAAATGACATACTTTTCACGGCATAAAAATGAAAAAAAATATCATTGAAATTGTAGTATGTTGGGCATTTTGTGGTTTAGGGGCCCATAGTTTTTCATCTTAATACAATTTGCAGTGTTCCCCGTGGAAAAGAAGAAATGTATAAAACCAGTTAAGTCTGTGGGAAAGACATGCATTTTAAAAAGTGTACTGAAATCTGTGTGCCATGAGAAGAGAGAAAAATCTGAAACCTTCCACCACTCTCATGCTGATTTTATTTTCTCTTGTTTATCTTTGAAGTGAGGCAGCCCCATGCAAAAGCAAAACATTTAAACCCCAATTGCTCTCAATCTAATGAAGGGTTTTGAAAAATATACCTCCACTTAGTCAGCTATTTCTTGTTTTATCAGATATTTTCACATTTCATTTGGGGCATAGGAAGAGATGAGACTGAGGGTTATTAAATAGTGTTTTGTATCCGAGGTGAAATAGGGCAGCTTTGGTAATCTACATCCCTTCAGCAGGGGTAAGTGCTCTAAAATGACCTGTGTCCAAATATTTAGTTATGGCTTTGATATGTAGCCTGGTAGACCTAGAGACATAAGATGGTGGTTTATTAGGAAAAAATAAGCTATGAGTATTTAATGAAATATGTTGAATGACACAGCAGCTGAGAGATACTCTGCTGCTTTGAAGCTCAAACACGCACACAATTGTTGACTGGAGGTCCTTCCAAGAGCTGGTAGTCAATAACCAGACAGGTATGTTCAATGCCTGAGGGTGCTGGAAACTCTAAAGTAGCTAAGGAACTTGTAGCAGAGCTGTACCACAAAGTACCACATGTTTTGTGCCATTTGCGACCTTGCAATAAATACGCGCCAGATGAACACAATCAGGGTGGTGTTGATGACATATTGAATGTTTCTTAGCCTGGCAGAAAGAACAGAGAAACAAAGCTTTTACAAAAAAGAAAAAGAATGTTAAAAATCTTTTAGGAAAGAACAACAATTAGACTGTATGGATGCACATAGATATAAAAAAGTAACTACACCAACAACCAAAGCAAGCAAACAGAATACTTTCAAATGGGGTAACAGGTTGGTAAATTATTAGCCTAGCAACGCAAAGAATATTGCTCCCCTATGAGAAAGGAAATCTTAGATAAAACTTCAAACAAATCCTATAAATTATATGCAACAAATAAACCAGGGAAGTAAAAGAGAGTGAATTTTTTTAGCAAATACTAAACTATCACAGGTTTCAAATGATACCATGTTTGGGAGAAGGGAGCAGCCTTTTCAAAAGAAGTTATTCAGGGCACTATGATCACAGCAGTCCAGGCTGAGTTGCAAGGAAAAAATTCTCTTTGGTTTAAGTTCTCTCAAGTTCAATCTTGTGTTGAAAAATACCTTACATATAAGAGAAATAACTGAGGAAGAAACACACATTGGTAGCTACTTAACAAATATGATACAAAACCAGAGGAAGTGAAAGTAAAAATTGGCTGAAAATATTGGGGGAAAGGTATTGTTGAATATCTAGGAAAATATCTGGAAAAATACTCACAGATTTCCCTTACATATGGGAATAAGGAGAAATTGCTTTAAAATTGCGAGTAGGTGTATATCATTCCAGATACAAAAAAAATGAATAAAACAACCCCCAACCACATATTGCAAATGTCTAAAAGTACACAGGGAGCCATTTCACATGTGGTAGAACTGTGATAAGACAATTCAATACTGGCAGAAATAAAATGTCACATTAAAATGATCTGAGGGTATGAAATCCCCCTCCACCCAGTGTTTTCTCTACTAATTTATGTGGAATAGTTGGTGAAATCAGTACATAAAGAGATGGCATCTTGTATGCTGGCTGCAGCCAGAATACTCTTTGCAAAGATGTGGAAGCTGACTGGTGCCCCATCTATGAAATTTCCAATGGAGAGACTTTGAGAATTTGCTGCAATGGCCTAATTGACTCACTAAATTAGATTTAGGGAACAAAAAACAGAAGCAATAAGAAGCAAAACAGAAGCTTTGCAATAAGATGGAATAAAAGATTAAGGCTGCAAAACTTGTTTATAGTATACATAAAAAAACACCACTCTTAATTTATTTTATAAAAGTGAAATGAGCTGTCAATAACCAAGATGCCTCCAACTGGATAACATAAACATAACTTCTTGCATGCATTATGGGTTATGTTTACGTTTTGCAAAATAAGTAGTCATAGACTTGATGAGAGAGAAAGAGAGAAAGAGAGAGAGTGGCAAATAGTGCAGCAAGTAGATCAGCTACATTTTTCAGGTTGCTCCCAGAAACGAAACATTGTTGGCATCAAAATTTCAGACTGTATTTTTCTTCAACTTAATTTGATTTAATTGTATTTTTGGGGGGGATCCACAAGTTCAAAAAAAAAAAACAAAAAAAAAACTTTTAGCAAAGAACCATTTGCAATATCTCAAATACTTCTAGCTATTTCAAATGGAATTTTACTCTGTGAGTAAAATGTCCTGTTCTGTATACTAAAAGTATACATGAATGCCTTACTTTCGTAAATGCTCCTTTGCTGCAGGAATGCCAGCCAAATCTTCATTCAGCACATGCATCTTAGCTCCTAGACAGAAATATTCTATGTATGCTGACCAATTCAACTGGCGGACATCAAATAAGAACAACTGGAATTAGGGGGGGGGAAAACAACAAATGTCACGTTATTTGCTTGGCTTGAGCAAGTGGTGCAATCAGATAAGGGGTTAAAAAAGGCCTGAGCTTTTATAGGTTCCTGCAAGTAAGCGAGGCTGGCATGGCACAGGGCAGTGGTGGTGAACCTGTGGCACGTGTGCCAGAGATGGCACTCAGAGCCCTCTCTGTGGGCACGTGCGCAGTCGTCCCACCATGCGCCGCTGTCAAGCGGTGACCTCCCCTGACAAAGGGAGGTGACTTTAGTGCAAAAATAATAATAATAAAAAATAATAATCCAAGAAATCTGGTATGGGAATTTGCATGCTTTTTCCCACAAAATCAGAGCATTTGCAGATGATTTCATAGTAACAACTGAAAACCCTCAACAAAGTAGAGAAAAAATTAACAAATTCGGAAGATTGGCAGAAACTTTAAAAAAAACTAACTTATTAGTTAAAAATATGAGATCTGAGGAGATAAAGGACTTACAAAAAATTACAGCTTTAGAGATTAAAAATAAAGTAAAATATTTGGTGTCAGGGGTTCAGGGACAGAGGCACAGGGTAGGCAGGAGATGGAGAGCGATGGGGATGAATCCCAGGACAGCGAGGAAGAGGATGACAATGACTCAAGAGATTCCATGAGTCTTTCCAGCGAATCAGAGGATTCCCAGAAGGGGCGCCGGTGGTCAAGGCTAGGGGAGCCCCAGGGGGGACGTGTCAGGAGCAGGGGGCCAGCGGGGGATCCCAAAGTGGCAGCTGGGCGTCAGGACCAGCCTCCCCGCCAGAGTGCAGTGAAGGGGGTGGAGGTTTCAGTGTATCAGGGGAAGCGGCTCCGGCAGCAGAGAAGGGAGGTCGGTCGGAGCAAGCCACCCTCCCGGAAGGGGAGGGGAGTAGTGTAGCTGTTAAAAGGAAGGTTAGAGGTTGGGCGCGCGCGCCAAGTTCAAATGTAGAGGCGCGCGGAAGTACAGGGAGCCCGGAGGAGGGGCCAGGTCCCAAAGCCGCAAGAGCAGTCTGGGGATTCCGCGTCAGAGGAATCCAGGAGGGGCGAAACCCCAGCGGGCAGAAAGACCCTGCGGAAAAGGAAAGAGAGAAAGAGGTGGAGCAGCGCAAGCCTCTTAAACTGGTGCAGGGGAGGGACTGATTCAGAGGGGACTTCAGCGGTCTAAGCATAGCAGACGTAGGGCTGCGCGCCTCGGATGTGAAGCAAACAATGAACTGCAATAAACACTTTTGTATATAAGAAGAGATAGGCGTTGGTCTTTTGTGAGCTGAGACTTGAGGCAGCCCTGACAGTAAGTCCCCTCTCACTGAAACCGCAAAAAATTTTTTTTTGCACAGCTCACGAAGTTTGGCAGCAATGACTACTGAGGAGCAGATAGCGTCCCTGCAAAACGCAGTCACTGAGCTCTCCACTGCTGTCGTGGTTTCTCAGAAGACAGTTGCTGAAGCAGAAGCGCGATGCCAGGATCTGCAAGCCAGGTGGGATCGGGCGTGCAGAGAGGGGTTCCCGGGCTCCAGATCAGAGGGAATCGGACTCGGACGGAGGGGGGGCAATTTAGTAGCCCACTTCGATGGGAACCTGAAGCATTATCCCAATTTCAGAGCAGACGTCGTATACGCGCTGCATTTGCTTCGAAAAGACTTCAAAGATGAGGAGGAGAAAGTAGGCTTTATTGTGTCCCATTTGCATGGGGAAGCTAGAACCTGGTTACGCAATTTGTGGCGCGAAGATGGTCTTGCCCGCAGGGACTCTGACGAATTTATCAAAGCCATGGACGCTTGCTTCCAATCTACCGTTGACGTTGATGTGGCGCGCCAGGAGATGCATGGATTGCGGCAGGGCAAGGCTACAGTGCGTCAGTACCATTCTCGCTTTTTGCATTGCTGAATGTGCTGGGCTGGGAAAAGGACTCCCTGGCAGTGAGAGACTAGTTCTGGGAGGGGCTTCATGGCTCAGTGAAAGATGAGATTGCTAGTGGAGACAGACCTCAAACCCTAGCAGACGTCGTGCAGAGGGCACTCACGATAGGGGTGCGCCACGAAGAACGCCCTTGGCACAGTGAGGAGGGGCGTCACGTCCGCCCACCAGCTAGAGCGCCTCCTTTTCTTCCCAGGGACCTGGGACGTACAAATCCCTCGCCTATGCTGAAGGGGGAGGAACCAATGGAGCTGGGTGGTGCAAAGGCTCAGACAGCTGCCGGAGCCTCAGCGTCCGGAGCAGTCAAGGCGAAGCCTCCTAGAGGGACCAGGAAGTGTTACATCTGTGACAGTGCACAGCACATGGCTAAAGAGTGTCCCCAGAGGCTCCAGAAGCACACTGCAGCCTTAGCAACAGTAACAGGGGAAGCGTTCCAAGGAGAAGAGTTTCAGGGAAACGAGAATGCCTGGCTGGAAGCAGAGATGCTGGGGCTCCGCCAGGCAAGTCAGTGAAGCAGTCCCCAGGGCTTTTGCAGCCTACAGACCCCTTACCACCCAAGCCAGTGGTGCAGCTCACTGCTACTCTCCAGCTACCTAATGGACTCACCCTGGAAGTCCCCATTATGATTGACTCAGGGAGCAACGCAGACTTCGTGGGGATGCAGTTCATCAAGCAGCATCGCATAGCGCTACTACCAGCCACGCTGCCTCTGAACGTCGTCACGGTAGATGGCAGGAAGTTGCTGGGTGGGCAAGTGGTACAACAGACGCCACCCATGCTGCTGAAAATTGGGAATCATCGCGAGGTCATCAGTTTCAATGTCACCCAACTGTCAGACACGCCTATAGTGTTAGGCATGAGTTGGCTGGATAGACACAGCCCATCATTAGCGTGGTACCAGCGGCAGCTCACCTTTGGCTCGTCCTACTGCGCACAACATTGCATCCAGACCGGCCAGGAGGAGGAGGGCCAGGAGGAAGGGCAACAGTTGCATCTAGGCATGGTGCAGGCAGTGCCCCACAAGTACAAGGGGTTTTTGGAGGTCTTCTGCGAGAAGGAAGCTGACCAATTACCACCCCACCGGCCCTACGACTGTGCAATTGACCTCTTACCAGGGGCGACGCTGCCGACTGCGAAGCTGTATTCCATGTCTGAAGATGAGATGCAGGAACTCAGGGAGTTCATAGATCACAATTTGAAGCGGGGATTCATCCGAGAATCCAAGGCAGTGGGGGGCAGTCCTGTGTTTTTCGTGAAGAAGAAGGACACGCCCCAAAAACGGCTCATTGTGGACTATAGGGCCATAAACTCGATGACAAAGCCCAAGGCCTTCCCCATGCCCAAGATTGACGACCTGCTCGCGACGGTGAGGAAGGGGAGGATCTTCACCAAGTTGGTTGGAGCATACAATCTGATACGCATGAGGGAAGGTGACGAGTGGAAGACGGCCATGTTCACGCCGCTGGGCACCTATGAATACAGAGTTATGCCGTTTGGTCTCCAAAATGGCTCCCACTGTTTCCAAGCATTCATGCACCACGTGCTAGCAGGACTCCTCTACAAGAAGTGCGTATGCTTCCTCGACGACATTCTGATCTTCTCAGAATCGCAGGAGACTCACGAGAGAGACGTAAAGGAGGTCCTGCAGAGGCTATGGGAGCACAGACTCTACGCCAAACTGGAGAAGTGCCAGTTCGACGTGACGGAGGTGGATTTCCTGGGCTACCGGCTGTCCGACAAGGGACTAGCCATGGACAGCGCCAAAGTCCGTGCGGTGTTGGACTGGAATAGCCCGCGCAATCGGAAGGAGGTCCAGAGGTTCGTCGGCTTCGCCAACTTTTACCGCAAGTTCATCAGGGGTTTCGCGAAAGAGACGGCAGCTATCACGGACACCCTCAGTTCCAAGAAGAAAAAGTTCACCTGGACGGACCAGGCGGAGCAGTCCTTCAGGAGACTTAAGAGCCTCTTCGCGTCCGAAGACCAGCTGCTACACGTGAATCCCGGCAGGCCCATGCGGGTTGAGACTGACGCATCTGACAGAGCAGTGGGGGCCGTCCTCTTGCAGGAAGATCCGCAAGGGAACTGGAGGCCCTGCGCTTTCTATTCCCGGAAGCTCAGCAAGTCGGAACAGAACTACACCATCTGGGACAGGGAGTTGTTGGCCATCCACGCGGCTTTCAAGGCGTGGCGGCACTTCCTCATCGGAGCCAAGCACACCGTGCAGGTCCGCACGGACCACAAGAACCTAGAATATTGGCGCACGGCGAAGCTCCAGAGCCAGAGGCACATGAGATGGGCGGAGTTCTTTGCGGATTTCAATTTCCGGATAGAGTATATCCCGGGAGACAACAACGTCATAGCGGATGCGCTCTCCAGGAAACCGCAGTATCTCGAGGAAGCGGCACCAGTGGCAGCCAGGCACATTTTCACACCGCAAGCGTGGGCGTGCGCTTCCGCCGCCGTGGACCTGGACGCGGTACGACGCGCGCTGCAGACGGATCCGTTCGCACAATCCAAGATGGAGGAGGTGCGAAGAGGGACAGCAAAGGACGGCGAATTCCAGATACGCGACGGCCTGCTGACCCGCAAAGGTGCTCTCTAACAGAAGCAAAACGGTGTTTTGGGTTCCATCTACATAAAAAGAAGATAATAACTCTCTGATTGGGCTCATTTAAATTTGGTGTTTTTGGGGTTGGAATGCACATTCAACCAAAAATAGCAGAGTGAAATGTTCGTTTTCAGCCCAAATCAAGCATAGGTGCTTTGGTTCCATCTCAATAGAAAGAGGACATATAACCTTGGAATCGTTCTTTCAGTGTTCATTCACCCACAAATAGCGAAGCGAAGTGTAATAAGCCTAAACGAAGCAAAACAGGTTGTTTTGGGTTCCAACTACAGAGAAAGGAAAATCTTGGATTTCGCTTATTTCAAGTCGTGTTATATGGTGTTAATGCACATTGACCCAAAAATCGCAAATTGAGACCAAAATAACAAAACACGTTGTTTTCGCTTCCATATGCTTAGAAAGACCAATAAGCTTTGATTGGGCTTATTTCAATTCGCATGGTGTTTTTTGAGTGTGCACCAGAATCATCCCAAAAGAAAGCAAAAAGGTGTTTTGGGTTCCACCTCAAAAAAGAGAAGATGATCAAGCTCTGATTGGGCTTATTTCAAACTCGTGTCTTTTGGGTTAGAATGCACATTCACCCAAAAATCGCAGAAATGTTTGTTAGCCCAAATCAAGCATAGGGGTTTTGGTTCAATCAATAGAAAGAGGACATACAAGCTTGGATTGTTCTTTCGGTGTT